TGTCATTGGAGAGGTGGCACTGTCACCCTCCAATCCGCTGTCACTCTTGTAAAACTATAAATACTGGAGTCAGAAAATAAACTTCCCTTGTTTTCCTCCACCTTGAGAACAGTAGTGAGCTTGTGTTCTTTCGTGTCCTATAGTGACAATATATAATATATAATATATAATATATAATATATAATATATAATATATAATGTATAGTAATTATGTTATATTATATTATATTATATTATATATATTATATTATATTACATTATATTATATTATGTAATTATATATAATTACTATAATATAGTAGTAATTATTATATGATTACTATTATAGTAATATAGTGTAATATAATATAGTATAATCATGTAATTTATTAGCCTTCTGATAAGATGGAGTCCTCATCATTTTCCCCTCCTTTGTCACTATACAGGTACCCAGAGTTTACAGGGGAAGGCTTTGTGCCCACCCTGTGCCATTCCCCAGGTGCCATCCCAGCCCCAGACACCCTCAGAGCCTGATCCCACTCATTGGTTATCTTCTTATTCAAAAAAGATTCCAGAAATGGTGTCAGGATTACAGGCCCCCAGTGCTGCATGTGCTGGTGACAGGCTGTGCTCCTAGGGGTGACAATTCCAGGGACACAGCTGCTTTGGGGACAGGGAAACGCTGTCACACCCAGCTCTGGGCATGGCTTTGCGTTTCTGCCTGCCCGGTGCTCACACAGGTCTCCAGAGCCAGCAGGGAGAGGGATGGATGACAGCAGAGCACAACTTTTAAGGGTTAGAAACTGATAGCTGGACCTAGGAGAGGGCAATGCTCTGATTTTTTTATGTGGCTTAATTGTTACTTAATTTTTAGCTTGTTAGTTAATTTTTAGATTGTTAGTTAATTTTAGGTTGTTAGTTAATTTTAGATAATTAACAATTTTAGATTGTCAGTTACTTTTTAGCTCATTGGACACCTCCCTGCATTCCTGGCCTCTCCCCAGAAAGAGGGGACGCCCAAAAATGCCCATTTCACAAATGATTTTCCAGTTCAGTTCACAGCTCATGCAACATCAGCAATAAACCTCCACCCTCTTGCTGCCCTGTCTGGGATCAGCTGGGGGGGATTGCTTGGAGCATCTTGATTTAAAATAATGACAAATATTTGAGATGAGCAAGGGTTGTTCTGCAGTCCCCAGGGGTGAGGGGGTTCCCTCAGGGGTGGATTAAAGCTGGGGGTACCTGGGAGGATTGCATGGAGCATCTTGATTAAAAATAATGACAAATATTTGAGATGAGCAGGGGGTTGTTCTGCAGTCCCCAGGGTGAGGGGGTTCCCTCAGGGGTGGATTAAAGCTGGGGGTACCTGGCGCTCCTCGTGCTTGCCGTGGATCTCAATCATGTCCCCGAGCACCTTCACCTTCAGCTCCTCAGGGGAGAAATGCTTCACATCCAGGTTCACGTAGAATTTGTCCTTATCCAGTCGCATCTGCAAAGAGCAGGAGGTGATTTCAGAAAAGAGTGAAAGCAGGAGGTGACTTCAGGAAAGAGCAAAACAAGAAGGTGACTTCAGAAAAGAGCTAAAGCAAGGAAATTACTTCAGAAAAGAGCAGCTGAGGGTTTCAGCTTAAAAAACAATGCAGCAGGCCAAGACTCAGTCTGGTCTCCACACACACTCTGACCTTTATTTTGGGGTCTGATGTGAGCAGCTCTGTCCCTTGCTGGCCTTGTGCTAATGCCCATCCCTGCAGCACCTGAGATTCTCCACCTGAATTGGTTAAAACTGACTCTGGGTTTAAAGCTGAACTCTTTATTATGGCTGCTCCACTGGGCAGCCAGACAGAGGGCACTAAATCAAGATGGGCATTATGCAAGGATTAAAATAATACTTTCACTCCTGCTTGGAATAGCTCCTCAAGCTCCTTGTGAATAACAGAGTTGACTTGCAGGACAGGCAAAAGCCTCTTGGCTCAGCCCCTGGAGGGAGGAGGCGGCTGCTCCACGATTCTCTGGGTCCTGGATCTTATTAAAACTCTGTTTTTCAGGGCAGTGATTGTTTGAAAAAGGCCCCTTTTCCCTCAGCAGTGCTTGGCATCAGGACCCCACTGCCCCTGTGCTCTTCACTTCTCAGGTGGGAGTGGGATTGAAAGTTTGGTGCAGCAGACTGGGAAATCAGGGAAATCAGAGAAATTAGGGAAATTAGAGACATTAGGGAAATTAGAGAAATAGGGAAATTAGGCTTCCTTCTTTCCTCCGCCTGCTCCTAGGGTGACCTGCCATGCCCGCTGAGCTCTGTCCCCATCACTATGGCCACACTTGCTCCATCCCAAGCAATGCAGAGGCAGCACCTTTCCCCCCAGCCTTTCTCCTAATAAACCCCACCTAGGAGCATCCTCCACGCTCCCAGCTCTCCTGGGCCCGCAGCAGAGCCCAAAAGGAGCCCCAAGAAGCAAAGATTACCTCGGAGAGTCCTGTCTCTAGCCAACTGGGCATCCGAAGGATGGGGGATCTCATCAGGAAGGGGCTGAAGCTGGGGGAAACGGGGAGCAGCTCCGACTCGGGCAGGTGCTCCCCGAAAATCTGGTCAAAGATGCGGCTGGGCGCCAACCAGGAGAAGAAAGGTCTGCGGATCAGGGGGTTGTGGATGGTGATATCCATTGGAGAGCGCTGGAGGAGCCTGGCAAACAACTGTGCTGCCGTGCTGGGAGCGGGGACAGCTTTATAGGCGTGCAGCTGGCCTGGCCTTCCACCCCCCCGAGGCCTCTTGAACAGTGGTGTCAGGGATTTTATTGTCCCACTCCTGGGCTGGGCCCTTCGGCGGTGCCCGGCCGCTGTCTGAGGGATTTGAGCGCGCTGCTGAGGAGGAGGAGGAGGAGGGGGCAGGGGACGGGAGGAAGAGGAGCCCAATGGGGCAGCAAGGAGCTGGAGCGGCCGTGCCCGCCCTGCTGCCCACGTGCTGTTTACCCACAGCGCTGGGCAGGCTTGGCCCCTGGTCCAGCTGCCCGGGATGCCAGCGGGATCAATGCAGCTCCTATCTTTGGATGGCAGGAGCGGCACAAGGGGCCCTTGTTTGTTCCCAGGAGCTCAGCATCCCCCAGCAGGGCTCAGCAGCAAAGGGAGCCCCAAAGTCAGGGTGAGGGAAGGTGCCAGGAGGGCTCTGCTGGGCTCCTGGCACTGCGGCTGCAGAGTGAGGCACTCCTGTAGTTAAATCTCGTAACAATGGTTTTTCAGGCCATAGATCTCGGAGAGAGACCGAGTAGGAATTTGTGATAGGATTTGTTTTATTTTTAGGGTTGTGTTTTGTTTTGGGGGGGCTGGCATCTAACCCTTCCCCTTCTTACAGGGTGCTGGGGTTGGTTGTAGCGGCTGTTGCAGGGTGTGGTGTGAGTAAAGGATGGATCTCTCCACCAACACCTCTGGTCTTTTGCTTGGTCTTTTTCCCACATTTTTCTGGAGGGAAGAGCTCCATGCTGTGACCCCAGAGAGAACCTGGGCATGGGCAGGGCCTCCAGGGTGCTGCAGAACACCTCTGCCCTTTCACTCACCTGTTTTCCTGCAGCTCTCCCCCCAACAATTCACACATTTGCTTTAATTGCTGCCTCACCCATGAACCCAAATCTCAGGAACGGGTTCAGCCTAGCTTCTGTTGAAGGGCAAGAGCTTCTCTGCCTGTGAGAGCTCACAATTTAAACACAATTTCTGCTCAGAGGCGCTGCCAGCTCTGCCAGCCCTTTGCCAAAGGCTCTGAGCCTCTTCCCCTCGGCTTGCCTGCAAGAATAGGAGCAGGATTTTCTCTGTGCAGCAGCCCAGGCCATAAATACCCTCTCCAAGTCCCCATTACATCAGCAGCACTGCACCTGCTCTCCCACACTGCAGGGCTGAAGGAAATCTCTGGTTTCAGGCTGTGCAGAGCTCAGCACCAGCAGCCCACCAGCCCTGCCCGGCAAAGCTGGACTTAGGCAGGTTCGGAGCCTGGCTTAGCTGGTGAGGGCTGGCACCAGCATTTCTCCGTGGCATTGTGCCAGAGCCTGGCCAAGGGAAGAGCCTGGGCAGCCAGCAGGGCTCAGGATGGGGAGGGGACAGCAGTGGGACCTGGATCCCTGCTGCACTCCTGCAGCCCTTCCCCGCTGAAGGAACAGGAGATTTCAGCTCAGCTCCTGGGACAATCAGGCTCCTCATGTAGGGAACAGGAGGGGTTTGAGCCCCAAGCTCACAGTGGGCACTGGGAGTGGGCAGTGGCTTCATCACATGAGCTGAACAATCTCATCCAGCTTTTGGAAAGAATCGCTGCCTTTAGCCCACATTTGCTTCCACACTTTGTGGCTCCCCACTCCCTCAAAGCCTCATCCCTGAGGAGCCAGGAGGACCTCCAGAAGATGAAGAGCTCGTTCCTCCTGCTCTGCAGCTGTGGCTGGTACTAACGAAGCCCACCATTCTCATAATGAGTGCTGTCCAGCCATGTGGCTGCCAGAGATAAGCAGATTCCTTTTGGATCCGATGGAATTTTTTGGAGAGCAGCACCTTACAAACCACTCCGTGTGTCTCAGCCACCCACAGGGCCACCAGTTCCAGTTCAGGGACTCCCTGAGCTGCCCCAACGAGCCCTTGCTTTGGAGCAGCAGCACCTGGGATCTGTCCTGCCCCTGAACCTGGGCTGCCCACCCACCCCCTGCTCCAGGAGGGACCCTCAGAGGGTCCCCAAGGTGTCCCCTGCCCTCCCTGCAGGAATGCAGCGAGAAGCTGCCCTGGCCCGGCGTCCTGGGGCCTGTGTGGGGCTATTTTGGTCCATCTTTTTTATCACTCACTCACTCACTCCCTCCTCCCTTTGGAATCCACCCAGCTGGAGCCTTGCAGCCTGCAGCCCTCGCTCGGAGAGGCAGCGAGGGCTGGGGAGGCAGGAAGGAAAAAAGGAAAGAAGGAAGGAAAGAAGGAAGGAAAGGAGGAAAGAAAAAGGAAGGAAAAAGGAAGGAAAAAGGAAGGAAAAAGGAAGGAAAAAGGAAGGTATCTGTGCTGGACACGCCATGGCCGCCCGCACTGTGCCCCACGCTTACCCCATGAGCTCTGAGTATGAATTTGCCAACCCCAGCAAGATCTACGACCAGAACTTTGGAGAAGGTAAGGAAGGGGGTGGGATCCCCCCTTCCCTCTTTGCACCTTTCTCCCCTCTGCTGCTGCAGGGCTGGGGGATTCCCTCTGGGCAGCTCGAGCTCCAGAGGGGGAAAGCTGGAGCTGAGGGATTTTGAGAGGAGGAATCTGGATCAGATCAGGGGGCAGCAGCCAGGGATCAGCCAGGGAAAAAACAGGGAGAAAGCAGGGAAAAAACAGGGAAAAAACAGGGAAAAACAGGGAATAGCCAGGGAAAAAGCAGGGGAAAATCAGGAAAAAACAGGGAAAATCAGGAAAAAACAGGGAATAATCAGGGAATATTCAGGGAATAACCAAGGAATAGCCAGGGGAAAACCTGGAAATAGCCAGGGAAAAAACAGGGAGAAAACAGAGAATAACCAGGGAAAAAGCAGGGAATAACTAGGGAATATCCAAGGAATGACCAGGGGATAGCCAGGGAATAACCAGGGAAAAACAGGGAATAGACAAGGAAAAACCAGGGAATAGCCAGGGAAAAAATGGGGAAAAACGAGGAAAAAAATAGGGGATAACCAGAGAATATGCAGGGGAAAATAGCCAGGGAATAGGCAGGGAATGACCAGGGAATAGCCAGGGTCTGTCTCTTCATGTCCAGTTCCCCATCCATGCCCAGTGCTGCCCGTCCCTCCCTCCCTGATGCCAGCCATGCTCTGGCATTCGTGCACATGCTGTGAAAACATGGAGCTAAAGCGCCCAGGGGAGGGGGGGAAAGCTTTTCCAGCCAGGGGGATGTGGAGAAAAGCTGAGCTGGGGCGTTCAGCACAAAGCTGGGCAGTGCTGGCCAGGGGGAAGGAATGTGGGCAGCAGCAGAACCATTCAGCACCGGCACAACAGCGTGAAAAGGCAAAAAGCTCCAAGGAAAGCCCTGTGGACAATGGCACACAAAAGGCCTTTAGTCCTTCACCGTCAGCACTTTCCGTGCCCATCCCTGGCCGTGGGCTCTGCTCTGCTGAGCTCCCAGAGCACCCAGCAGGCCCTCCCAGCGCACCCAACATGAGAAGCTGGATGCCAGCCCCAGCCCGGGCAGCGCATGGCACGCAGCAGCTGGCAGGGACGCGGCTCTGGGTGGGTTTTAGGGGCACAAAGGTGGGAACTGCAGCAGACTCCACCCCTGCTTGGGGATGGGACGAAGCCAAGGTGTCCCCCAGGTCCCACACTGCTCCTGCCCGCTGCTCCGGCCCCACACTCCCCACGGGCTCTCCTCTGCAGGTGTTTCCCCATCGGAGATTTTAGCCCCTGCCCTGTACCACGGCTACTACATCCGGCCCCGCATCAACAAGCAGCTGGAGAGGGGCACCTCGGAGGTGTGCCTGAACCAGCACAAGTTCCAGGTGTTCCTGGACGTCTGCCAGTTCCTGCCCGACGAGCTGAGCGTCCGCACCGTGGACAACCTGCTGGAGGTGGCGGGGCAGCACCCGCAGAGGGCCGACCGCCACGGCTTCGTCGCCAGGGAGTTCACCAGGACCTACATCCTGCCCCTGGACGTGGACCCGCTGCTGGTCAGGGCCAGCCTGTCCCACGATGGCATCCTGAGCATCGTGGCTCCCCGCACGGGCAGGGAGGTGAAGGCCAGGGTCAACGAGGTGGAGATAACCCGGCAGGAGCAGCCCCTGGGGAAGGAGGAACGGGCTGAGGAAGGGAAGGAGAAGGACAAGTCCTAAAGGCTGCAGATCTGGGAAGGTGGGAGGGGTAGGGATGGGGAATGTGCAGTGCCAGAGCCCATGTTTGTCACCATCGGTGTTTGGCAGCCACACTGATGGCTGGGAACAAAAGGGACTTGGAACTGGAAATAAGTGGGGCTGAAGTGTGAGTGTCAGTGTGAGTGTGAGTGTAATGCAAGTTGTTTTCTAGGTCAGGTGAGCGTGCAGGGAGCTCTGCTCTCACCCAGGGTCACTCCTGCCCTTAGCTGTGAGGCTGTGACTCAATGGACTGAGCTCCAGCCCAGAAGGGCACTGGGGAGGGACAAAAGGGGATCCCAGTGCCTGGATTCTGAGATTCCTGCCTGTGCACGGTGGGTGTTGGTCTGTCAAAGTGCCTGCAGCAACCAGGAGGAGGGAGGAATAAATCTGCCTCTGCTCTTTTCTTGTTTGCCTTGGATTGGTGTTGCTGCTGTGCAGCAGGACGGGTGGGCAGTGGCACCCACCTCTGGAAGTGGCACCGGTGGGGACATGGAGGGGCTGTGGCCGCCCCTGTGCCTCACCCGAGCCCAGAGTGAGGTGACCTCCAGGACACAAAGGTGAGGAGGAGTGATGAGCCCTTGGAAGGTCCCTGAGCACCTCCGGAGCTGCAGCCGGAATGAGCCCAATTAACGGGGCACAAATTAATGCCCGGCACAGCCTGTGCCAGCTCAGCCCTTTGGTTATGGGGCATCCTTCACACCCAGCCCTTTTGGGGGGGCTGAACGCAAAACACCCAAGGGAGAGGCTCTGCTCAGCCCCCAAATGCCTGGCTGGGCAGGCAGGGAGGGGCTGCAATGGCCCCTTTGGCAGCCACTGTGAGCAATGTCCCCGTGATGGGGACAGGGATCGTGTGTGAGCTGCTGGCAGCTGCTGCCCCGGGGCTCAGCGGGTGACACTTGCCACCCTTGTGTGGTCAGGGCCAGCCAGGCACACAGAACGCTGTGTCAGTGCCTAAATTTGGGGGTGCCTGGCATGCCTGGCTGCAGCTCTCCCAACAGAGAGGAGGGGAGGCTCCAAAATCCTCAGGGATGTGAATTCCCGCTCTCCCTGTGGCTGTGCCCACCCCACTCTGGGGCAGCAATGCCAGGGTAGGGATGCCAGGGTAGGAATGCCAGGGGCAGCAATGGCTGGGTAGGGATGCCAGGGTAGGAATGCCAGGGGCAGCAATGCCCCCTCAGGCCCCCAGCACATCCCCTGGGACTGGAGCAGGGATATCAGGCTGATTTTTGTCCCCTGCCAGGCCAAGAGCAGGGCACTGCCCAGCTATTTTCAGCTCCCTTCTGCTCCCCAGGGCGCTGCCAGCCCTGGGAGCAGTCAGATGAGGAGCAGCCCTGCCAGGCTCAGAGAGGGCACTGAGTGCAGGGCAGGTGCCAACAGTGCCCGACCTCCTGCCCTGAGCCCTGAGGTAAAAGCAGATAAAGTGTCAAAATAAAAAATCACCTCAGGGCGTTTGTGCCAGTGTCACAGCGGTGTCACCGTGCAGGACAGGGCTGGCAGTGCCCAGTGTCACAGCAGTGTCACCGTGCAGGACAGGGCTGGCAGTGCCCGGGAAAGACAGGGCTGGCAGTGCCCGGTGTCACAGCGGTGTCACTGTACAGGACAGGGCTGGCAGTGCCCGGTGTCACAGCCCTGTCACCGTGCAGGACAGGGCTGGCAGTGCCCGGTGTCACAGCTGTGTCACCATGCAGGACAGGGCTGGCAGTGCCCAGTGTCACAGCTGTGTCACCATGCAGGACAGGGCTGGCAGTGCCCGGTGTCGCAGCCCTGTCTCCGTGCAGGACAGGGCTGGCAGTGTCCCGGGCTGTCCCCGCAGACACTGCAGACACGGAATGTGGGGTGGCAGCCAAGAGCTGCCGGCCCCGCCAGTGTTTGCGATGCTTTTCTGTTTCTCTGGTGGAGCTCGAAGCGGCAGCCGCAGCGTTTGTGGGAGAGGCCGATGGGAACGGGCTCCCAGCCGGTTCTCTTTGCTCCTTCCCCACAAAGCAACAAAGGCCGAGTTATCCCGGGAATCACAACAGACGCTGGCTCATTAAAACAACAGCGTCTGTGGCAAGGCACAGACACAGAGTCGGGCCGGGCTCCTGGGGACACCTGGGCGCTGCAGAACGCTGAGTCCCAGCTGTCTGCACACATCCAGCCCTGAATTCCGCGGGGTTTCTCCAGCCCCAGCAGTGTCACAGCCAGGCTGCTCGCCCAGAGCCAGCTGTGACCCTTCCAAAGCAGAATCCTTCTCCTTCTGCCACTCCTGCAGGCTTTGCTGTGTGTTGTAGGACACGAAACAACACGAGCACATGCACTGCTGCTCTCAAGGTGAAGAAGAAAGGAAGTTTATTCTCTGACTCCAACATTTATAGTTTTCTAAAAGTGACAGTGGATTGGAGGGTGGCTTTTAGCAGCACGAGCCCGAAAAAGGCCCCACGTTAACAGAGGATTAACCCTTAAAAGCAACAGCCTGTTGCATATTCATACAGCTCATCCATGCTGCATAAATTCCATTCAAACACAGGATTCTGGCTGGGCAGTGTCAGCTTCTTCCTCTGAATCCTGACAGCGCCTTCGAGGCGGGAAGAAGTTCATTTCTTCTGATAAGAGATAAATAAATTGTTTTCCTCTGAAAGATTCAGGTGTCCTGTGGCTGCTATCTCACTGCGAGTCCTTTCTTTAAAAAAAGTATCCTACATAGCATCGTTTCTATTTTAACAATTTTTATAACCTAAAACTATATTTAACTCAGCACTTACGAGAATTAATACAGCATCGCTTTCTAACACAACACATATAATATTCCTTTGTATAATTGCAAAAAGCCAATCATAAAATACATGCATTTTCCACAGTCCTGATAATCCTGGGAGAATGGCGCTTCCCAAGGCTCGGAGCCGGGGCAAGCTGGATGGTAAAACAGATGTGGACTGGAATAAACAATAAACTGGAATAAACTCCATAAACTGGAATAAGCTTATTAAACTGGAATAAACTTAATAAATGGAACAAAGGGGCAGTTGAGGGCTCGGCTGGGTCCGTGGCTCACCCTGGGCAGGGACAGAGCCGGGTTGGGGGACACGGCAGCGCTCCCGTCCCGCCGGGACTCCGGTAGATGGCACACGGGGCCAGCTCCGAAACCCGACACTGGGGACACTCCCTGGGAGCCGGGCCCGAGCAGGAACCAGGAAATACGAGCTCAGCCTGCCCGGGGAGCGCTCGGGGAGCGCCATGGGCAACCTGTGCGGCTGCGGCCGGCGCTGGTGAGTGCGGAGCGGGCACCGGGCACTGGCACCGACGCCGGGCACCGGGGGCACCGGGAATCGGCACCGGGAATCGGCACCGGGTACCGGCACCGGGAACCGGGAATCGGGAACCCGCACCGGCGCTGGGAACGGACACCGGGCACCGCGGGCACCGGGCACCGGCGCTGGGAACCGGGCACAGGGAACCGGGAACCGGTTACCGGTACCGGGCATCGGGACCCGGCGCCGGGCATCAGGAACAGGGCAACGGGCACCGGGTCCGGGCACTGGGAACCGGGAACCGGGCACCGAAACTGGGCACCGGGAACCGCGAACTGGCACCGGGAACCCAGCACTGGCACTGGGAACCGGGAAGCGGGCACCGAAACTGGGCACCGGGAACTGGCATCGGGCACCGGGAACCGGGCACGGGCAGGATTTGGGAGATTTGCACCCTTGTGCTGGGCTGGGCAGGGCTGGGCAGAGCTCTGAGCCTTGTGCTGGGGTGCCCAGGGATCTTTGGGTTGCCCAGGGCTCTGTGCCCCTGTGCTGTGCTGCCCAGGGCTCTGTGCCCCTGTGCTGGGGTGCCCAGGGCTCTTTGGGCTGCCCAGGGCTCTGTGCCCCTGTGCTGGGGTGCCCAGGGCTCTTTGGGCTGCCCCGGGCTCCGAGCCCTGCACCTGCCTGGCACGGACAGGTGGGCACGGCAGCAGCGCTGTGCAGGTGCCCGGGGCACGGGCACAAGGCGGGTTTGTCGCATCTGAGCCCGGACGGGAGCGGCAGCTCGGGGCTGGGAAGGAGCTGGGAAATCCCAAATCGCTGTGCTCAAATCGCTCTCCTCAAATCGCTGTCCTCATAAGGGGTCCCCTTGAGGGGTCCCTGGGACAAGGGGGGTTCAGCCTCCCCGTTCTGCCCTCACCCATCCCAGCCCCTCTCCCCGCGCGCGTCTGTCCGGGTTTTATCTCACAGAATCACAGAATAATGAGGTTGGAAGAGACCTCCAAGCCCAACCCGTGCCCTGACACCTCAACCAGACTGTTGCACCCAGTGCCATGTCCAGGCTTTGTTAAACACACCCCGAGCTGGTGATTCCACCACCTCCCACAGCATCCCCGTGCTTTGTGTTCCTGCTCGGGACATCCTGGGCACTTTTCTGAGACGCTGTGGCTGGCAGGGAGGGAGGGAAGGTGGCACTTGAATCCCCGCTGGCTCCTGCTCACAGAGACAGGACAGCACTCCCTGCCAAGTGGGAATAACTTCAGCTCTGCCAGGGGAAGAGCCGTGAATTTCAGACGAAAGTGCAAGAAATTCATCCAGTTTTTAATAATTCCAAGAGGCACAGCATCACCTAGTGGAGGAAGGCTCGGGAGCTGAGGACACCGAGGTTGTTCCAAGCCCTGGGCCTTGAGGAGTTTGGGATTTCAGAGCAGGAGTTGGAGGTGGGAGGTGGAAAGGCGGTCACCCACCAAAATTCCCATTTTTCATTTCAAATGAGGCACCCGGGGCATCAGGGCTTGATCAGGGCATGCCTGGGGCACAGTCTGAGATCTGGAGAGAAAATTGATCACAGCAAATTGATTCTGTCTGGGGAGTCATTGATGAAGGAATTGTGCCCTCGGGTCTGGGCCCCTCTGACCTTTAAAGTGGCACTAAGGTGGCACAGGCTGCCCAAATCCAGGTGCCAGAATTGTGTGGGGTGGGGATCAGCCCGGCCTTGGCACAGGGACAGGGCAGGAGCAGGGCTGTGGGCGCTGCCAT